ACACTCCACTGTATCTTTTGTATTTAGTGTTTTTGCTATTGTTGGGTTATGCGTATTAAAGTCCTAGTGTTGTATTTCGTGTTTTTAAGAACGTTGTTGCGAATGCACTTTTGCACATGATTTTTTACATGTATGTTTGTGCATGTCCATTTGAGCGAGTGTGTTCTTTCATGTTTGTTGATTTGTATTAATGTCCTAGGATTGTAGTTTGTGTTTTCGTGATCCTTTTTGCGAATGCACTTTTGCGTGTGTACTTTTGTGCATGCTTTTGTACATTTACTTATGTGCGTATCTTTTGTAGCGAGTGTTTTTGTGCACGTGTTTTGATGCGCATTCGTGTCCTCGAACTGTAGCACGTATTTTCATGATCGCTTTTGCAATCCAATTTTGACCATGTTCGAGTCCGAATTTGGAAATTTGACATTAGACAGGAATTTTAGCCAGCTAAAATAGCTTTCTAATGCCGCCAGAAACAGTTGATTTGGAGTCCGGATGAGAAAGTTATGCTCGACTTCGTGGACACTACCGAAGGTGTTGAGGGATTTTCTCTTCTAATATTATTTTATTTTCCTAATTGCAACTCCTTTCTTACTCTTTGATCATTTTTGCTTCATGGACACCTAATTATCAATTTGTACCTGTAAGATACTAAATCCACCAATTAAAACAAAAATATAAATTAATCCATAAAAAAATCCACGTCAACGTAAACGTTGAGTGTTATTTTTACACTCTACTCTATCCTTTGTATTTAGTGTTTTTGCTATTGTTTGGTTATGCGTATTAAAGTCCTAGTGTTGTATTTCGTGTTATTAAGAATGGTGTTGCGAATGCACTTTTGCGCATGTTTTTTTACATGTACGTTTGTGCATGTCCATTTGAGCGAGTGTGTTTGTGCATGTTTGTTGATTTGTATTAATGTCCTAGATTTGTAGTTTGTGTTTTCATGATCCTTTTTGCGAATGCACTTTTGCGTGAGTACTTTTGTGCATGCTTTTGTACTTTTACTTATGTGCGTATCTTTGTAGCGAGTGTTTTTGTGCACATTTTTTGATGCGCATTCGTGTCCTCAATCTGTAGTATATATGTATTTTCATGATCGCTTTTGGAATCCAATTTTGACCATGCTCGAGCACGAATTTGGAAATTTGACATGAGAAAGGAATTGTAGCCAGCTAAAATAGCTTTCTAATGCCGTCGGAACCAGTCTATTTGGAGTCCGGATGAGAAAGTTATGCTCGACTTCGTGGACACTACCGAAGATGTTGAGGGATCCTCTCTTATAATTTGATTTTATTTTCCTAATTGCAACCCCTTTCTTACTCTTTGATCATTTTTGCTTCATGGACACCTTATTATCAATTTGTACCTATAAGATACTAAATCCGCCATTTATAACAAAAATATAAATAAATCCATTAAAAAATACACGTAAACGTAAACGTTGAGTGTTATTTCTACACTCCACTGTATCCTTTGTATTTAGTGTTTTGCTATTGTTTGGTTATGCGTATTAAAGTCCTAGTGTTGTATTTGGTGTTTTTAAGAACGTTGCTGCGAATGCACTTTTGCGCATGTTTTTTCCCATGTACGTTTGTCCATGACCATTTGAGCGAGTGTCTTCTTGCATGTTTGTTGATTTGTATTAATGTCCTAGGATTGTAGTTGTGTTTTCATGATCCTTTTTGCGAATGCACTTTTGCGTGAATACTTTTGTGCATGCTTTTGTACTTTTATTTATGTGCATATATTTTGTAGCGAGTGCTTTTGTGCACGTTTCTTGAAGCGCATTCATGTCCTCGTACTGTAGCACGTATTTTCATGATCGCTTTAGGAATCAAATTTTGACCATGTTCGAGTCCGTAATTGGAAATTTGACATTAACCAGGAATTGTAGCCAGCTAAAATAGCTTTCTAATGCCGGCGGAACAAGTTAATTTGGAGTCCGGATGAGAAAGTTATGCTCGACTTCGTGGACACTACCGAAGATGTTGAGGGATCCTCTCTTCTAATTTTATTTTATTTTCCTAATTGCAACTCTTTTCTTACTCTTTGATCATTTTTGCTTCATGGACACCTAATTATCAATTTGTACCTATAGGATACTAAATCCACCAATTAAAACAAAAATATAAATTAATCCATTAAAAAATTCACGTAAACGTAAATGTTGAGTGTTATTTCTACACTCCACTGTATCTTTTGTATTTAGTGTTTTTGCTATTGTTTGGTTATGCGTATTAAAGTCCTAGTGTTGTATTTCGTGTTTTTAAGAACGTTGTTGCGAATGCACTTTTGCGCATGTTTTTTCCCATGTACGTTTGTGCATGTCCATGTGAGCGAGTGTGTTCTTGCATGTTTGTTGATTTGTATTAATGTCCTAGTATTGTAGTTGGTGTTTTCATGATCCTTAGTGCGAATGCACTTTTACGTGAGTACTTTTGTGCATGCTTTTGTACTTTTACTTATGTGCGTATCTTTTGTAGCGAGTGTTTTTGTGCACGTTTTTTGATGCGCATTCGTGTCCTCGAACTGTAGCACGTATTTTCATGATCGCTTTTGGAATCCAATTTTGACCATGTTCGAGTCCGAATTTGGAAATTTGACATTAGACAGGAATTGTAGCTAGCTGAAATACCTTGCTAATGCCGCCGGAACCACTTGATTTGGAGTCCGGATGAGAAAGTTATGCTCGACTTTGTGGACACTATAGAAGATGTTGAGGGATCCTCTCTTCTAAATTGATTTTATTTTCCTAATTGCAACTCTTTTCTTACTCTTTGATCATTATTGCTTTATGGACACCTAATTACCAATTTGTACCTATAAGATACTAAATCCACCAATTAAAACAGAAATATAAATTAATCTAGAAAAAAGTCCACGTAAACGAAAACATTGAGTGTTATTTCTACACTCCACTATTTCTTTTGTATTTAGTATTTTTGTTGTTTTTTGGTTATGCGTATTAAAGTCCTAGTGTTGTATTTCGTGGTTTTAAGAACGTTATTGCGAATGCATTTTTGCGCATATTTTTTTACATGTACGTTTGTGCATGTCCATTTGAGCGAGTGTGTTTGTGCATGTTTATGGATTTGTATTAATATCCTAGGATTGTAGTTTGTGTTTTTATGATCCTTTTTGCGAATGCACTTTTGCGTGAGTACTTTTGTGCATGCTTTTGTACTTTTACTTATGAGCGTATCTTTTGTAGCGAGTGTTTTTGTGCACATTTTTTTGTGACACCCCCTAAGTTCCAACTAATAAACCGGGAAGTTTACGAAGGAATACGCGAGCGGAAGTCTAAATTCATAGAAATATATTATTTATATGTTTTTTTTTTTTCACCGTGAGGCATTTCGATAAGCCTTAATTGGTGTCACCTTGTCCTTAGATTCAATATTTCGTTGCTTACTATCATACAAGAAGACAATCGGAGATTTAAGAAAGTAATTATAAGGCGGAGATATTAAACCATCAAGCCGTACTATTTTACATATACTAGTTCAAAAGGAAACATAGGAAAGTTCACCTTACACTAGGGGTAGTAATATACATGAGCTACAATAGAAATAGTAAGAGTCTTCAATGCAAAATAAACAAAAGCTAAGATAATAAGCAACATTAGTGGATCCTCCATACGAGCCCAAAATTTCCGGAATCGACCCCTCGAACCGCTACTAGTCCAAACCGGCGGAGTTATCCCTACTAGTTCCTGCAAACGGAGAATATCTATATGAGCTAACAAAGCTCAGTAAGGATCTCGAAAGATATCGAGATTTGCAAATATTGTTCTACCATATATATATATAATATTATATCACATAGGAGCAGTCAGAATTAACGTAAAACACACACATGTCTCGGTTTTCGATTAACATCGTGAATTATTTAAAACATTTTATCGGATCCGATGAGAGATTAACTTTTGTACTTAGATAATAAGAAATTATTCTGAGCCCGTTTTGGTGGAATCAAACCACCGAACTATGGTATCTATGGTTGGAATACCGGCCCCCCCGTATCCCTTCTTATTATTTCTAAGTATTCCATTAACCTCCCCAAATTATTTTTATTTATTACAAAAGTGGCAAGAAAGAAGTAATGAGAATTTCACATAGGTACCCAAAAGTACCAACAATTCACAACCATCAAGAAATCTAACCACCAAGAGACATCACAAATATCAATCAAGTGACCAACAAATACACAAACACATTATATCAATTACACAATTTAGACATCTAAGCTCACTTATGCACACATGCACACTCACTGATGCACACACGCACACACACAATTATGCATCTACAAATTTTGCATTAATAATATGTTACTATTATATTCTTACCTATGCATTTCATATATTTAAACATATGTATGTATATACAAATATATAGAATGACATACAGGCACATATATATATATATAAACCGAACTACATATATATATATATATATATATATATATATATAAATAATTATACACATCCAGAAATTGAATACGTATATATATATCTACATGTGTTTTAGTATACTTTTTTTTTTTATAAGCATACTTGAATAATGACTTAATTTACTAGAGATAATAAAATTATAACTAATAAAGGATATATATATATAGGTGTATCTAAAGTAATTTTACCAAGGTGTCATTACACAAGAAGTATTACCAAAACACTTAAAGAACTTCTAATTTAATTTAATTTCCATAAGGATGTTTTATTCGAAAGGAAATCCGATTATTCATCCTAAAATCAACAACACATTAATTAGGCAGATTTCAGATAATTCAAATAAAATCTCAGTTTTTTTTTTTTTTTTTTTTTTTTAAAATTCGAAGAACAGCAAGTTTCTGAAAATTACAATTTCTACCCCAAAATTTCCATTTCCTTCCAAACCTTCATTTATTCATTCAAGATAATTAATCTATTAAATCCAAAACTTCAGAAACTAAAAATTCTTATTTTTAACTAAATTTAACCGATCTTTTAGAAATTTACAGATTAGTCCCCTAGCTTACTAGATCTTCACATGCATGCCCCTAATTTTACCAAAATCTGATTTTCTTCAAAAACTCACTAATAACTCAAAATTTCTTTGTCACTCCCTTTTTAAAAGGCTTGAATCTACGGATTATGCAGTCTGATCATACATGCAATGATTTAAAATGCAAGAATCAACAAAATTAAACACGAAAATGCAAGAATAACATGAAACGAAGAAGAGGAGTGTCTTTTAGATTATTTTCCGAGATTCCTTTCTTGATACTTGATACCTCCATTTGCAGCAAGGATTTCGATTCCTTACCTGGTGTTAGAAAGAAAGCTAGCCAAAAGAAAAATGCTCTTGAACCTTCAAGAGAATCAAAAGGTCAGAAAAGGGGAAAAGAAGGAAGAAATTAGAAAATATTGGGAGAGGTTCTTTACCTCTTCAATCTTCGATTTCTAACCAAGCTATTTTGAGGGAGAGGGCTATGGAGCGTATTAGGAGATGAGATGTGATTTCTCCCGTGAAAGGGCACCTCGTATAAATAGAGTTCTTGGAGAGCTCTAGAAGGAGGATAGGATAGGGAATTCTCATGTTAGGATTTTTTTGGAGCTTGGGGTGGCTGATGGTGGCTCACGGTGGTGGTGCTGCCGAGGGATGGAGAGAGACCAGGTGAGGAAGAGAGAGAGAAAATGATACGATCCACACAAGCTCAAAGATGAAGAATTGGAAGAAGAGAAAGCGAGTGAGATTAATGGAGTTGTTCGTGTTGGAGTGGAAGAGTAAAGGCTTGAATCAGGCCTTTGAAGAGTCGTTGTTGAGGAATTGGAAGAAAAGGAAGAGGAAAATTCGTTGGACAAGTCGAATTCCATGCATCCGAGATTCTCGCCTATTCTGGCAGAGTTTACCATTCGAGTTATAACTCTTGCATCCGAAGTCCAATTGAGCTGATTCAAAATGATTCGGAAAGCTAACTGAAAGATATACAACTTTCATGTTTTGAGCGAAGAGATATTCGAAGTGGAACAATGTCGAAATTGAGCTTTAATTGCATGCACGTGCACAGCCCAATGTCGCGAGATTATAAGGGTGATCGAGAAGCCGACTTGAAGATCAAGTTATTTAGTTTACTTATTCACGTTTTTAATTTAGGTTTTATTATGTTTTTATTATTTTAGAGTCTTTTATGATTAGGATTTGCTTATTTACAAGTTTCCTTATTATAGTTTAGGTAGGAGTCCTTTTCCTTGTGAAAAAGGAGTCTTTTTAGACCTTATAAATAGGTTGCCAATTTGGCTTATTTTCTAAGACGAATTTTAATGAATATTTGAGTATTTTGAGAAATCAATTCTCCTTCGCTGTTCTACAGCATTCTTCGGAATTTTACAAGTGGATTCTTGTAACTTTCTTAGCGCCATAGTATTGGTTTCTGGTTCTCTATAACCACGGGGTCAATATTATATTTCACCTTGATAATAATGGTTTCTAGCTCTTTATAGCTATGGGGTCATTGTTCCTTGCTTCCGCCAAACTTGAATCTTTGTTTTTGGGTGTTTTCGATCTTGCTTCCGCGTAGGGTATTGGGTCTCGTAACGAGTTCTACGGGGTTCGTATCAGTTGGTATCAGAGCCAACATCCAAAAACAGGTTTCGCCTATCCTTTATCTTGATTGTTGAGTCAGTCCTTTCTTTCGTGTCTTCGTTTTGTTTTTCGTTTCGTATCAGTTGGTAACCAGAGCCAACATCCAAAACAGGTTTCGCCTATCCTTTATCTTAATTGTTGAGTCAGTCCTTTCTTTCGTGTCTTCGTTTTGTTTTTTGTTTCGTATCAGTTGGTAACCAGAGCCAACATCCAAAACAGGTTTCACCTATCTTTATTTTTTTTTTGTGTCTTCTAGTTTATCTCACCTTTTCTTGAGTTGTGTCGTCTAGAGTCTTCGTGAAAAAAAAAAAAAAAAAAAAATTCGAATTTTTGCTTTAGATTTCTTTTCAGCCAAGTTAGGGTTTGTTCGTGTCAAAAAAAAAAAAAAAAAAAAAAAAAAGAAAAAGAAAAAAAAAAAAAAGACGAATTTTAATGCATATTTGAGTATTTTGAGAGTTAATTCTCCTTCGCTGTTCTACAGCAAATTTCGGGATTTTACAAGTGGATTCTTGTAACTTTCTTTGCGACATAATATTGGTTTCTGGTTCTTTATAACCACGGGGTCAATATTCCACCTTGATAATAATGGTTTCTAGCTCTTTATAGCTATGGGGTCATTGTTCCGTGCTTCCGCCAAACTTGAATCTTTGTTTTTGGGTGTTTTCGATCTTGCTTCCGCGTAGGGTATTGGGTCTCGTAACAAGTTCTACGGGGTTCGTATCAGTTGGTATCAGAGCAAAAAATTCGAAATTTATCTTTTATTTGTAGTTTTTGGAGTCTAAGTTAGGTTTTGTCTTGAGTCTTTGTCAAAACAAAAAAAAAACAAAAAAAAAAAAAAAAAAATTCGAAATTTAATTTTGTTGAATCTTCTTAGAGTCTTAGTTAGAGTTTTGTAGTGTCTCAAAAAAAAAAAAAAAATATTGCTTTGATCATGTCCGAGAAGGCCGGTTATTACGGAGAAAGAATTGAGCAGCGTAGGATGTCGCCAATGGATAAACGCTTCCAAGAACTCCAAGATCGGATGGAAGGAATTATTACCCAACTAAAGGAACTACGCAAAGATCAACATGTTCGAGGGCCATACGTAGGACGTGATGTTCACCAGCCAGTTATACCTTATCCTGATAAAGAGGTAGCTCGTGATGGACATTTTGGTGTGAACGCTACAAAATCAAGGAGGGAGAGTATGGGACGAGGTTCTGGAATGGATAGATCGGGCCGAGGATATTTTGTTCGAGAAAGAGATGGCGTAGATCAAAACTTCAGCTCACTCAAGTTGACAATACCATCTTTCCAAGGAAAGAGTGATCCTGATGCGTACATTCAATGGGAAAGAAAGCTTGAGCTCGTATTCAATTATCATTATTATTCCGAGAAGAAGAAGGTGAAGCTCGCCGTCGAAACGTTCATTGACTATGCAATTACTTGGTGGGATCAATTTGTCTTAACTAGGCGCCGCTGTGGAGAACCATCAATTGATGATTGGGAGTCCATGAAGGCAGTTATGAGAAAGAGGTTTGTTCCTGCCCATTATTATAGGGAATTGAAGATGCAGAGCTTGAGGCAAGTTACTAAGTTAGAGGAAAGGAGTTCATCGATTTGGAAATCACAAAGGAGATCTTCAACGAGCCAAATGAGAGAACCATTACAAAAGCTCAAAGCAGAGGAAATTCTACGAGACAAAGGCGACTACGAGGAATTGATGAGAGAGGGTGATTTGTTATCGCCACTTGAAAAGGAAGATACTCGTGAAGGTTTTGAGTATGAGAACAGTCAAGCGAATTTGGAAATTGCTGATCCAATCGTTGAGGAAGAGGTTAATGAGAGTTCAGATCTCGAGTCCAAGGGGGAAGACAATAGCAAACCCGCCCCACTAATGGATGAAACAGAAGGTTCGGATTCGAGGACGAATCCTTTTGAAGAGGTGGAGAATGATATGATCCATCCATGCAATGAAGTTAACACTGAACTAACCGGAGTTCAAAATCCCATTGTGCATTATGATGAGATGGTGGTGTCGAGGTTTGACGCATTGGGAATTCGAGCTACAAAATATCCATGTTCGTACACATTTCAATGGCTGCAAGATGGTGTGTTCTGCGATGTGGTGCAACGATGTGTTAGTATGCTGCCAAAGAAGGAGATTGATCATGAAGTCAATTTTGTTTATACTCCTTGTGATATTTGTCCGGATTCGAGGACGAATCCTTTTAAAGAGGGGGAGTATGATACGATCCACACAAGCTCAAAGATGAAGAATTGGAAGAAGAGAAAGCGAGTGAGATTAATGGAGTTGTTCGTGTTGGAGTGGAAGAGTAAAGGCTTGAATCAGGCCTTTGAAGAGTCGTTGTTGAGGAATTGGAAGAAAAGGAAGAGGAAAATTCGTTGGACAAGTCGAATTCCATGCATCCGAGATTCTCGCCTATTCTGGCAGAGTTTACCATTCGAGTTATAACTCTTGCATCCGAAGTCCAATTGAGCTGATTCAAAATGATTCGGAAAGCTAACTGAAAGATATACAACTTTCATGTTTTGAGCGAAGAGATATTCGAAGTGGAACAATGTCGAAATTGAGCTTTAATTGCATGCACGTGCACAGCCCAATGTCGCGAGATTATAAGGGTGATCGAGAAGCCGACTTGAAGATCAAGTTATTTAGTTTACTTATTCACGTTTTTAATTTAGGTTTTATTATGTTTTTATTATTTTAGAGTCTTTTATGATTAGGATTTGCTTATTTACAAGTTTCCTTATTATAGTTTAGGTAGGAGTCCTTTTCCTTGTGAAAAAGGAGTCTTTTTAGACCTTATAAATAGGTTGCCAATTTGGCTTATTTTCTAAGACGAATTTTAATGAATATTTGAGTATTTTGAGAAATCAATTCTCCTTCGCTGTTCTACAGCATTCTTCGGAATTTTACAAGTGGATTCTTGTAACTTTCTTAGCGCCATAGTATTGGTTTCTGGTTCTCTATAACCACGGGGTCAATATTATATTTCACCTTGATAATAATGGTTTCTAGCTCTTTATAGCTATGGGGTCATTGTTCCTTGCTTCCGCCAAACTTGAATCTTTGTTTTTGGGTGTTTTCGATCTTGCTTCCGCGTAGGGTATTGGGTCTCGTAACGAGTTCTACGGGGTTCGTATCAGAAAACCAATCGGGAGAGAGAGAGAGAGGAAAACCAGTCGGGAGAGAGAGAGAAAGAGAGAGAGATTGGCCCTTTTTTAAATAGGAAGAGAGGCTTTTGGGTTACCATTCTTGGTTAGGGGTTGAGTGTGGTTTAGGTGCTGATTATTGAGGTCTAGACTCTAGGTTAGTATATAGGTTTATATAAACTATACTCAATCTATATGCAATTATACACACACACACGGCTGCACACATATACACACACGCATGCACACACACCTTCACACACATGCAGACACACACACACATTTATATGTGTGTATATATGTATATTTAAGTAAATACTTATACATATATGTATGTATAAGCTAATTAATAAGTGTATAGTGCACACATCAATCCATATTTAGCAAATAATTTATGATTTCATTTATCATATATATTCGATGATTCACGCAGTCAAGTAATATTTTGGACGAGTTAAACTTAATTAAAACGCATCAACTCTACATAAGAAAATTAGGAAAATTTAAAGACGAGGGGTGTTACAATCTTCCCCCCTTAAAGAAATTTTGTCCCCAAAATTTGTTACCTGTCCCGAATAATTCGGGATAGAGATTTCTCATTTCTGATTCTCGTTCCCATGTAGCTTCTTCCGGAGTATGGTTGCGCCAAAGTATCTTGACGAGACGAATCTCTCGATTTCGAAGGGTTTTGCATTTGGAATCTAGAATTTGTAGGGGTGTTTCTTCGTAGGAAAGGTTAGGGTTTAGTTCAACGGGGTCGGATCATAAAATATGGCTTGGGTTTGGTATGTATTTTCGAAGCATGGAGACATGGAAAACGTTGTGGATTCTTGATAACTTAGGCGGGAGTGCTAAGCGATAGGCACGCGTACCTATTTTCTCTAGGATTTCGAATGGTCC